CTTAGGAAACTTGTAGTGGCGTGCTTCGTTAATCGATAGTCTCGATAACCTTTATTATATCACTCTGAACTGTGTATAATATCAGAAGACAGAGGGAAGCGGCAACTATATTTTTATTGACAAATAACGTAGGCTAGAAGGCAGTGAGTACATCAGCAAATGTTAGCGAGCGAATTAAAAAATGACATGCATAGGAGATGGCTGGCCCCTCCAATCACTTAACCTTTATCCGTTAGAATACAGGTGTCTTAGAGTTGAACTTCTTATGACTTACAGTATCCTTAGTACTTCTGGTCCTCCCCTTAAACATCTTAATCTTAGTCATAACACTAACCTAAGAGGTAACACCCAGAAATTGGAGGCCCTAAACAGCAGAACAGACTGCAGACACAACTTCTACTCCGTTAGAGTTGTCAAGTGCTGGAATTTGCTGCCGACTGAGCTAGTCCAAGCGACCTCCCAGGAGTCCTTTGAGAGGAAACTCGACTTATTCTTAAGGACTAAGGATAACATATTATAATGATTTCCCAATTCCTTTTTCCCCTATTAACGTTAATATACGTACGTTCCTGCCTGGAGGTATTGGTGATCCATTGCTACTAGAAATGGAAGCCCGTTAGGTGAAAGCTTCTTCTGTTCCGTCCACAACGACTTGAACCATTTGAACACGTCTCAGAAATAATCAGTATAGAATGCTATCACTATCGCTTTTGACAGTGAATTCCATATTTCATAGACTTAAGCATTAAAAATTCAAGAGCTTTTGCGTGTGCTTTTTTTGTCACACATTAGGGTGGTGTCCATTTTTATCTAGTTTGGTACTGACGTGTATCAATGGAAATTCCAAGGATTATGAGCCATATTATACATCTTGATAATGGCCCTCCTAATTTTCTATACCTTATCAGATAAAGATTTAATGACACAAAGCCTATCAGGGCTTTTCCATAGACAAACTCCTCTTGGGAGAAAAATATCATTCTTCAGGTAAAAGGATATGGTTAAGGATCATTTTTGAGATGGTGCCCCGAGTAAGTAGTGAAATTTGTGTAGGACCAGTGAAATGTCACTGATCCTTAGACAAATCATCCGTCAGGTTGAAACATTCCACTTTAGACGACAAATCGCCGATTGTCAGGCAACTTGTCGAACTTAGTCATGGTGAAGGACAATATCAAATGGTAATTCAAGCTAGGTATCGACTAGGAGATGTGAATTCTACGTAAACTAGTAAGTCCTACTGTTCCTGTCCAACTTCAGTAAATCCTGACCATTCACAAGGATTAGCTACACTGATGATCAGCGACTATTTTTAGTAATAGGGGAATCAGGCTTCCTATGATTTTGCAAATAATACCTATGTCCGAGTATACACTGTTAGCTGTAGATTTACAATGGAAATTATAACATTGTTATGACTATGTTGTTTCCAAGGGTGAGAAGTGTAATACCGAGATTTTCAACAGCTGTCTGACGTCGATACTACTAACAGCCAGGAGATTTCAGGCCTACCCAACTCCTCTAACTTAGTAATCACGATTTCGTAGTAGTTGATAGTGATTGTTACACTGAAAACAAAGGAATAATAATTTGAGAAATATGGGGAATAACACATACACTTACTGTACAGTAAAATATTTTGTGTTGTTGGAACAAGTCATAATAATACAATAGAATCTCATACTGCGTACTTCTAACTTGACTCCTTGATTGAATCTTGTTGAAGTTCCAGACATACTGGGATTAATCCCGTTTCGTTTTATTATTTTGAATTCACTAACATCGATACAAACTTCATTCATACCCATTAGCAGTAAACATTCCAAGTTGTTTGGGCGCTGTATTTTAATGTTGTGGAAGTTTATCCTACCATATATGGCTTTTTCTGTCATGTGGTCGTTCATGTGAAAAGTTTTCTAGTTTACATTGTCACTGTGGTCATGTCATATATATGTTTTCACAACTTTGTCAATCTTTCACCTGTCTCAAGCTACCGTAACTGATTTACTATCTAGTAATTTTGTTGCATTATGATTACGAATAAGGAAATACCCTCCACACAGGAGGAATTGAGCTAACAATCTTCAAAGCTGTACAAAAATTGATTGCTGGATGTGAATCTCATGAATTTCAGATCATCGAAGAACCCTTCAAAATAAAAATGATAGATTATAACTAACGTTATCCAATAGAACATACATATTAACGACTGTAACGAAAATGATTCACATCAGTTTCTTGATAGGCTTCAGTTCTCTAACTTTGATTTTTGTAAAATTCTAGGACGATGGTTCACTCACTAAGTAGAACATTAATAGTTTGACTTCAGTTAATCCTTTAGTATTACCCCTTCCTATGCAATTTGAACTGGAAATTGATAATAATGTTTTCACTCATAAGTATGCCAACAAAGCTATATCTAATTCTTGGGTAGTTCAGAATAATCTTAAAAGAAGTCTTCAGAGATCTATCAGAGTGACATATCAGTTTATCAGTCCCGGTCTAATTATTGGTAGTTCCATGTAACTGATCTTGATCTATTCTAAAACGGAGGCCATAAGCATGCAATTACTTGCCAGAGAATTCCGTGACTTGTCGATGAAAAAAACGGCTGTCTTGTAAATGCTTGATGTGAAGTTTCTGAAAACTTAGAGAACCGAGTAATATTAGCACTAGACCCAGAGCGGCCTGGAAGTTGTCCGAGCGTCTTTGACAAACAGAACGAAATTGAAAAAACAAGCCTCCGGATATTCTTAAAATCCAAGTTGTGGACTTTCGAATTGAAAGCTATATTCACAATGCATCAGCGTTATTCCGCTCTTTCCCTTGTTTTTACCGTCATCTGTGAAAATAAAAGCAATAGTTTCGATGATATCCATCATCTTTTAAGAGTTTCCATTCTTCCGTTTCTCGAAGGGAAAAAGTTTCATAATAGTCAATTTTGAAATTTAGACGTCACTTTTTGTATCCTTCTAAGAGTATCATGAGGTAACCCGTTTAGTAGTGAAGTTTTGTTTGCGTGGAAAAAGCTTGAAACGCTGTGCTTTTACTGTGACATAAAATTATTGGTCTATTTTCTACATTTTAGCGTCTATATTCTACATTGTTAGAATATATGACGGCTTTATATGTTCCGAGTGTGATTTTTGTAGCGAATGTCGTTTTCGTTTAGAAAACGTACGAACAGAAATGAGGAATAAAATAATATTATGCGGGAGTGAATATCCATTTAACTAACTTCCGGTCTACCAGTTATGATGTGAAGTTTCAAACAGAATGGCCATAAGTTAGTCAGGCTTGGAATTTAAGATAATCATTTACAGCTGCACTTCGTTTAGTCCGTAGATAAAAGCTGACTAGGAATGAAGGAACCTCCTAAACTTTATACAGAGCAAAATGTCCTATGATGTGCTAAGCAACAAATATTCACATGGGATAGGTTTAATCGTGACTTCAGACACTATATATACGAGTGATAATATGAATTTTTCAGTAGATTGAGAGAACTATTAAAGATGCCACAACATTCGGCGCTTGACAACGCTGTCCCCAACAGCATCTTCAAATTTGAGAAACCAAAACAGAATCAAACATAGAAGTCGGGTATGAAGGGATTCGAAGACTTATTTTTTTGAAGATAGTCTAGTTTTAGGTTAGTATATGATTTAAACTGATTAATTATTGTGAAGTGAACAAAGAAATCAGGCGGGAAATGCCAATCTATGTTTTGATGGAAAATTATAGGGTACCTTTGTAGAATATAAAAGCCATACACTAAATTTTTCATTTGCACATGTTCCATCAATTGTCTCTTACAAACTTCATCGTTCCGTCATTCTTGTTGTTATTTTGACTGCTTCCCGTGTTCTCCCCTCTTCTCATCTCGACTTCAATCTTCTGCTGCAAGACATTCTACTTCTGATTGGCGTTACATACTGTCTATAAGTCAACATAAGTAACATACACCATGGTTGCAAGGGGTAGGTAGGACGGCCCATAAGTAGTGATCTAGTGTGGATGCTTGACCAAGCGCCTTCGGTTAGGGTTTTTGCAGTAAAACCAATGAGGTCAGCACCAATGTTCAAAACTTATTTGACGTGTTCGTAAGATGGAACTAGAAGAAAGATACTTTGGTTCGAAATAACAGTATATCTGAGCGTGGGCAGATGTAGTGAGACCAAAGGAATTTTTTATTGGTGAGGGAAAGAATGAGCCCGAAATAGTGTTGTACAGGGATATGACCACTATGCTTGACCGAGGGCATCAAGCTGACAGTGTACCTGGAAATCAGAAGTGTCAAAATTAGATTCGAATGACTGTTCGTCCGTCTCTTCCGGAAAACTGCCAACTGTTCCAGGTTTTTTTTTACCGGTGTTGAGGAAATGTGGGGGAAAATTGAGGGATCCTGACTATTAATGACGTTCCCTTAGCCAAGAAAGTGATATCTCTGATGAATATCGGACTAGTTAATTAATTTTCTGTACTCGTCCAGGATAATTGGAACGAAATCTTCAAGTTTATTGTCAAGATCGGATTGCACCAAACCTCATGGACAGTAAAACATCCCCCATTATTTACTTAACACTACTGTTATTTAAATCCGTTTATTTTGTGTGGACAGAAATCGTATGTCATAGAGGTATAGTGGCAAAGTTTGAGAAACTAAGACGATTGTGATCCCGAGATAGCCGATTCATTGAAATCATGCTTCCACGGACAAATATGTGGCATTATCATGGTGTAAACGACATACAAAGTGCCCATGGACATAAAACAAACTCTTATTATAGATTAGTCACATCATAACATAAAATATACCCAGTCATTTAAATGCATAACATTTGGACTATTAGTTCATAGACCGATAGTTTCTCCACTGAATAATCAAATTTTGTGCCATACGGTCGAAGAATTGTCTTCAGGGCAATCAAGTCCAACTTTTATCAAAGAAAGTGAATGAGATGGAAATGTACAGAAAGAAAACTCACTTCGGTTTTTCGAACCATCAGCTAACAGACTCAAAATTTGAATATAAAAATAATTGTAAACAATAGGACTAATTTCCTGAACTTAATGTGAAGATGAGATAGTTACATTATTTTACTAAACACATTGTAGTTTGGTTGTCTGACCAACACGGTACTTTTTCGAGGGGTTTTCAATTTCTTGAGATGATTCAGTTGGAGGTCTGCATACCGGTAGAGGTGGAGGGCAAATATGGCGAGTTTTACCCCGTACGTTCTCTGTCTGTTGTTCATTTTCTTCTAGGGTGTCATTAATGGGTTGAAATCTCTAGAAGAACTTAATGTGACACTATTAGATTCTTCCCACTCGAAAGCCCTTGTGGAATTCACTCTCCCTCCTTCCTCGTTGCGTCTACCTCCAAAAGACCCAGGAACGGTCTTAGAACCAGTTCAAGGACTAGAGGTTGATGTGTTAATCAGCTCCTCTCCTGGCGAGCCACCTGTAGATCATGAGCAACCAAGTGATGCAATCGCCTCTAAACTTTCTGCCTGGTGGCCTGCTGTCGTAAGGAAAATTGGTGGGAGTTTTGTTATTGTGGAGTTAATGGCTGACTTCTCCTCTGAGAATGCTGGTCCAAATGAAGTAACTGTCCTTCCCAACAAACGCATTAGTGTCCCTCATCCGTCATCACTTGAGAAAACGGATATTGTTGAAAAGCACCAATTGAGGCCACGAGTTCATCATCCTAATCTTAGTGTCTCATCCTTTCACATCCATGCCATAGATATACCGGACGAGTTAGCTCCATAGTAAGTCAAGTTTCTGTTTCTTGCTTTGTCTTTCTATAGCTGTGATTAATACTGTTTCGGTTTTTCTCACAGTTGCAAAGAGCCTGCCAATTACCATCATTTTGCTCGAAGATGTGGTTTGCCTGTCCTGATCACCTTGGCACCCGATACTTTTAAACCAGTGTCTCCAGTTATTAAGGGGGATAGTGAGACGTACAACTTGAAGTCCCGTTTGCTTGTAATTTCTACGGATGTCTCCACAATCAACAGAGCATCGGTCATCGACAACACGTTCGTTGATATGCTGCGACAAAAAGTCTCCATTTTGCAACAAACTGAAGAACTATCTAAAAAGTTGGTGGCGTCTCGTCTTAATCAGGTACGTTTCTTACCTTCTTATAGTTTCCTTTAGCAATCACCATTCGTTGAAGAATTCCTCATACCCCTGGATTTAATTCATTATGCAATTGGTGCTCAAGGGTCAAATATTAGACGCGCTAGTGCTATTGAAGGTGTACTTTCAGTAAAGCTAGATCGCCAGACTGGCAATATCAGGATTTCTGGAAAGGTAGGTTTTTTCATTTTGTCTCGAATTCGATAAACTTGTTCAATGCGGTAAAATCAGCGCTTGCCAATAGCTTTAGCTTAAAGGTTCAGTTGGCTACAAGTGTAGAGCTATTAACATTGGTTAAATCTATTGGTAATAGCAGCCAAGTTTATCGACTCTGGTCGTATCACAAAACAGATCCTTGATCTCATTTTGCAAGTTATTTTTATTCACTCGTAGCAATCAGTTAATGTTAATTCCTAGGCCTGGTAAGCGCATTCATGTTTTACATTTAACCTATCCTAAAGAAAGGTCACAATTTCATGAACATTCAAGAACTCACGTATTCATCAACGTTTTCCGTTTGTTTCATATCATGGATTTCTGAAGTCGTGCTCACACTTCTAGTTAATCGCAAAACTGCTTATTGTTTTGGTTAGTTCATGTTATTCGTGGTAATGAGATTTAACTAACAAAATATCTGGGTCTTAATCTAAATCCAAAATAGCTTTGCAAACGAATATCGATAGGCTGAAACCGCTCCACTACCTCGACATAACGTGAAAAAAACAAACAGTGTCAACCCAGTATTAGGTCGTATACCATACTGTGTTAAACTTATTACTGTTTAGACCAAAGCAAATGGGTAATTACTCATTAGTATCAAATCAAGTCTAAAACCTTGGTCCATAAAATTAACTTATTTGTTTGAACACACAAATACTAATACAAAGGGGCACCAAATGTGCTCCACACAAGTCACTTGGTATGTGTATGAGATGTGATACTGCTCAGTTGCCCAGACCGAAGCAGGTGGTGTTCTTAGGGGGGCACAACCAAAGCCTTTGACCTTAAGGTCTAATCCACAAGGCAGTGGAGCAACGTCAGGAGATGCAGTCCATGGTAGCCCGTGACCAACGATTGGTTCATGCGCCATCTCTTCCTTCAGGTTACTGGAGCCCATGTGTACCATGGCGCAGGTGTATACACTCTTTATCCTCCCTTGAACCGTGAGATTAAATTAGCTTTTTATATCTGTCTTTCTTGTACTATATCCTTATATCCTTTTATATATTACCACCATTAAATTAACTACTATGAATCCGGTGTTCATCTAGTGCTAACGAAGTATGGCAACTTGGACCGATGCATGTGTGCCTGGTCCTACGTTGTAGCTGACTGCGGCCATATCAGGGCATTTAGGGGCATAAGATTAACTGTTTTTTATATAAATTTTACTATAGCTCGATAAAAATACAAACATGTAAAGCTTACCGTGTTCATGTTTGTATTTTTATCGAGCTAGAGTAAAATTTATTTAAAGAATAAATTATTTTCTGGTTTAAAATTTTAGACTTAGTTTGTTACTAATGAGTAGTGGTCTATTTGCTTCGGTCTAAACAGTCATAAGTTTAACTCACAGTATGGTATACGATCTTATAGTGGGCTATTAAGACACACTGCTTATTGAATTTAAGCTTGGTTTCCTCAGTGTTTCAGTTAGGACTCTCAATTTCACTTGTTTCCGCCTTTTTCAACAAATAGGTTAGTAAATTCATAGACAAAAGTCATCCTTACTAATTTAATTTCTGTTTTAGTCTGTTTTTAATGAAGAAAGTTATATATATTTTGATATTTTGAATGCTGTTTACCATTAGTCTAGGGAAACCATTCGAAAGACGCAATTAGGGTTTGAAAAAAATCTGATCGGTCTGGGAATTCCGGAATATGGATATGTTTTACCTGATTTCCATTTCAGTTAAATATGGTGACATGGAATTTGATTTTGAATACTCAAATTAGACGAATGGAACTCAAGGATGGGACTTATTGTTTACTTCATTCTACTGTTCACTTACGCTGCAGAATAGAAATGTAGCTCAAGAGAAAAACACTACTTAGATACTTGTAATAAATAAATAATTAGTTAGTAGAGATAATCCCTGTATACAGTTCTGAATTGTATTTGATTATCTCTACCTAGTAACACGAATCATATCTTGTGCCTCAGCACCAAACAGTTGTTCAATTGGAAGTTGGTGTGACAGCTTTGCCACTGGACCATCAAGCTCAGTATGCTTGACCAAAATAATTGACGTCAGATTAGTGGTTTATGCTACTAATGTCTAAAATACAATCTAATTGAGGAGCTAAGTAACCGGATTCCTATTGACTGATCTATTTATATGGCTGCTTAGAAGGTTATTGTTAGTGCATAGGGTAATGACTTATATGCTAATGTGTTGGAACTTACCATCAAACTGCAGACAAAACCCTTTTAATCTACTTCAGTTCCGACAACTAGCTAATATCATTAACACCAAAACATTTGGTTCAAAGCCAAGTAAATCTACACGTGATTATAGAATTACATTATTAACATTACTGAGTATATTGTTTAAATAAATATATATATATAAGGAAGTTTTTATTACAGGCTAGTTTCTAGTTAGTGTGCTGTTTGTTTTTGAGGACATCTAAACATTAGTTGTCCTCCCATTTTATATTTTCATAGTTTTAAACAAAATCCTAACAAAATACTGTACTTATTGATTCCAGACACAAGACGCTGTTAAAAACGCGAAGAAGTTATTGGACTTCTCTCAAGACATCTTCCAGATACCTAAATCATATGTAGGTCCTATCTTGGGGTCAGGTCGTCGACACGTCCAACATATCGTAGATCGAGTAGGACTTGTTGGAATCAAAATTTCTAAATCACCTGAAGACGATCGTGAGCATGTTTCATTTCAGTTAACGGGGACTCAACAAGCCATACGTGATACGCAGTTATTTTTGGAATTTCAAGTCGCAAGCTTACAGGAGTTAGATCGGCTTCGTGGTGTTGAGAATCCACCGTCTATACTAAAACCCAAGAATGCAACCATTCCACTTGAAGATATTTCTAGGTAATTGATTGTCACAAAATGTAAAATTAATAAATTCTCGTTAGATTTTGAATGAAATACTGAGCTTTTCATCTAGTGTGTATATAAACTTATTTCGATCTTTGTGGTCTTAGACTCAATGCATATTTTATAGGAACTGTATTTTGGCTGTTAATATTCAAGGGTTTTGATTGTTGCGCTACTTGTTTCGAACCAGCATTTGTCAGCTTATTTTGATTATATTAAACGTGGTATTCTACCGGTGCCGTTGTCGGCATTTTTAGTAACATCTTTTAATTGTTTACTATTATCTCTACTAACTAAATATTCACTTGTTACGGGTGTCTAATTGCAATCTGTTTTTTTCTTAAGCCATTAAATAGGGTGACAGAAAAAACCGTATTTCTGTTCTACAACTACAGTGAACAGCGGAATTGCCCCTAAATACCCAGGTATGACCAAGGGTGGGGAGAGTCCGCCGTCGCTCTCAAAATGCTCTGATATGGCCACACGTATATAGCCACTGCCAAGGAAATTCTGCTCGCTGCCTTCTCGTGATGGGTGTTGTTTAATAAGTTAAAAGGATAACAAGCAAATGTCCGGCTCGTAAACCAGATCAGTGGGTATGAAAGACCCACCTAGGGAGGTTGGAAAACCCTTATTCAGAATTAATGTTCATGAACTCCAGAATCCTGATAGAAACTATTCTTGGTCACCGATTGCTATGGGACCTCATCTCCTGACGTCGCTCCACTACCTCATAGATTATTGTCGGTCGTCCATTTACAAACAACTTTATGATGTGATACAAGCTTTCATCAGCCTAACTTGTCACACCACATTCACAGAACTAGAGGGAACTACTGCATTAAAACCGACTGTCACCGCCGGGGCTCACACGATAACTTTTCGACATTTTACAGTGGTTCTCTTGAAATTTTATCTTAGATTGATGATAACCTGTTCAGTCATAGACAAAATATCGTTATTGGATATGATTTCCAAATAAGCATTCTTTCTAACTATAGACAAAACTAAAGACAGTAGGTACTTTGGATTAGGAGGTGTACTATATTCGGAAATCCTAAGATCAAAGATATTACACTAGAATTTTAGTAATCCATATGGTGTGAAACACTTCATGTCAAAAAATATTTTTGATGTCTAGTATAAACTTTTTCAATGTAGACATACAGTAGCGAACAAATTTGAATTTAGGATAAATATGCATCGAATCGGATTTTTATGCTTCACATAAACATAGACAGAAAAAAGCAGTGACTAAATAATATTTATCCTTACATAAATGCAAAATAAAAATTCAATGCACATGAATTTTGAAGAATCAAGAGACGAAGTCAAGGAGTGACAAACTCCATACCACCATGTTCTCAACGGAAGAACCATAATAAATGAATAGATCTATCCCTTAGAGACCGATTTCAAGCCATGTTACTTAAAGTTTACTAATATCACTGTGTTTCAGACCGTTATCAGAAAAAAACCCATTCATCTAATCTCCTGTCAAACGACATTAATAAACCTGCTCAGTTTTCTCTGCCTAGAAAAAGTAAGTTTTTGGATGAAGTCCTACATAGGATGCAATCATGTTAATCCCTATTTAGCAATATTTTTACCTCATTTTGAATAAAGAAAACGCACTTTATAATTGTAATTGTAGCAATGATGAGTCTTCAAATCATTTCACACATTCTGAAAACGGTCATCGTATATCAAACGGTGACAATCAAAGTTCGAAATGCAGTGAATCTAACTATACTGTACATTCAAATAGTTTAAATAAGGAGGATCCGAAGAAACAAGAAACTACTTATAACAACATTGCAAATTCACGTCCACATCCTGGCGGGCGTCAGCCCAAACCGAGATCTCAAGTCAATCACACAAGACCAGGTATGTTTAAAAGACTACCTTAATAGTTTTACCGGAGTACTGATCGATAATCTACTAAACCTTTCTTCTCTTGGGTTGTTCGGTAAACTTATATATATATATATATATATATATATATATATAGTGTTTCCTAGTGTTGTCACATTGTGTTCATTTGGAAAGAATATTCCGTCTGGTTTTAATTACAGACTGCGCTATGTACAGTTACGCTTTCCACTAATAAACAAAATGGATGGTTTCTTAACATATTTGACGTCATAACCTAACCACCTTTGTCGATAAGATATTATTTTAGTTGTCTCTATTGGCAAGTTCTTCAATGTGAGGAAATGTAGCAGTATACAATCATTGAACCAGTTGGTGAAAATCCTTACCAGAATGTGGGGTTTTCAACACTGAAGAAATATGGAATGACTCAGCCATATTATTACGTTGCCAACGCATTAACTATGACAAGCTGTACCTGGAACAGTACGTTATCTTAAAAGGATCGACACAGTTGCTATCAGCAATCACATATCCATAGGTAGTTTTATTCTACAACCACGAACAAAAACAAATTAGATTCAATAATAATAATATTGTGATTGATATATCTACAAAAACGTTTTTAATTATTTAAAACAATGCTTTTAGATACCAAGGAAAGTAAGGGTGAAATTTCTGTTTTCATTTGTTAAAAGTCAGGCGAAAAGCTTATCTCATGGAGACTTTGTTATATCGTGGCAAAAGTAGTTCGATAACGCCATTTGTTAGAGGTAGGATGGTTGTCTGCGTATCACAGTTCATACAGTACCAAAAACCTATCTTCTGTTTACTTTCCATTGATATAATAAGTAGATGGAAATAACAGTCTATGAAATCATATACAGTAGTTTTGTGTCCCATGTTATTCTTTCCGAGGTCATTAAAGCAACTACAGTATGAATTATAAGCAGAAATGAATGACGGCAGTTCCAATACAAAAATAAATTACATCATGAATTGCTTAGTTTTTCAGTACCATTGTGTTATTCTTTTCATCTCGTCGATTTTTTTCTGTTGTGCTAATGTGAGATGTAACAGTGTGAACGGATGTACATATGTACCATATATTTTGTTGTTAGAGACTAACTTCCCAGTTATGTGAATCACATAAGACGGATTCATCGATGTGACAACAATTTCGAAAAGCCACACTTGTCTGATGGTTAAACAAACAATCAGTTTGGTAAACATCTTAGGTCATTGTTTCTCGTCATTGCATTTCTTCGCTGTCATTCTGAGTTCACGAAAAAAGTTGTGGTCCAAATAACCCACTTCAGTCCTATATTTTTTAAAGTAGGACAATTTTATTGATATTACAAACCCATATAAGTTAGGCAACCAGTGTAAACATGGTAGCACTGGGTAGCCGTTTTGTTCTAGTACGAGACCCCTCAGCAGTGCTCATAGACGATTCCGCGATCAGGAATCAAACCGTGACCTTCCAGTCTCTAGTTCAAATGCTTAAACTCTAGACCACTGAGCCGGGAACCAGCGGTGAACAAATCTAACTTCTATCAGTCCACTATTTTATCAGGTACAATCTAAAGCTTAAAATGATTGATTATTATTCATCGAATTGTCGTTTATCATTATTTTCATATTCATAACAATCCGTATTTCGCTTTCAACTTTAGATCCTCGTCAAATTCCCCCCATTCAACGAGGTGGTGGTGAAAGTGTTCGCAACAGTGGGAGTAATCATACAGGTGTTTCTAAGTCTTCAGCCAACCATGTTAACTCCAAAAACCCTAATCAGCAAAAAAATCAACCGAATCATCGTTCGGATTCCATGGGACCTAGAGGACAAAACATGTGTGCCCCAATTGTTAGCTGAATGAATTTTCCAGTTAGAGTTCAACGAACATTTTCAGTAGACCACTCAGTTTTAAGTGCTTACCCTTACCTCCGCTTTGACTATCCGAACATCTCATCTTATTCTACCTTTATTCAATTCGGCTGTCATGTCCTCTATACACACTCACACTGTGTAAATCAGATTGGATAACTGGAAACTTGTCTAAAGGTGATTTTTAAATGATCTTATTTTTAGCGCATATTACTGAATATTCGTTGCTTTTTTCTTCTTGGTGATATTCACTTCTTGTTTCAACCAGTCGTAATCTTAAACCATATTCTGTATATTGTTTCTGTTATAGTTTCTGGATTCACCAACTAATAAAAACAAAGTATTATCATACTGGCTGATTATCCATTTTTAGTAAATATCTTTGCTTTCAACCGTATTTGAACTTATGGCATTACCTCAGCCTAATACCTCAGATTTATGTACAAATCATGAACTAAATGATGGGTTATCCTACTACACTTGATTTGTATTATGGTTTTTATTTAGTGCGTTCATTATTTATTTCGTGTTGATTTGTTTGTCGTATAAGGTAGACTACAGTAAGTGTACGAATTAATATAGTGTGAGTTGTCAATATTCCATCGCTTAGGATTTATCATCATATAATTTGGATGTGATTCGCTTTCCTGTATGTAGTACACGGCATTCAGTACAATTTTTTATGGAAATCAGTTTCAAAGCAAAAAGGTTTGTTTAATAAATACACTGGATCTATTCAGTGTAGCTTGATATTCTGAATATCGGTTGCCTTATCGTCATTACCATTATATAAATTATGTATTTTGGGTGTAATTTCGCTAAATCCTTTAATTAGGTATCCGTCCTTTAGAACTATTGGTAATCACCATCTAAGAAGAAACGTTTGTCAAAAATGCTAATTAACTAATAGTTTATTAGAGATAGATTGATATCACTAGTGCAGTTTTTAAGATCCTAACTTTCATAATCAGGATCCAACCTGGGTTCAGAAACATTAAATCAGAGGAAATGAGACATTATTTGGTTCGTCGTCGTCCAAGTTTTTGTTAGGTTACAAACGTGGACATATATATCCCACTTTGACCGTATTCCTTAACTGCCCTCATACCTTTAACAGCACTCAAGACAACTGTATTCATAATCAATCTCCTCCAATTCCTACTATTCCTTCTACCTTGACTTTCAACACTAAACTTTCTGTTCCGGTTTCCTCCTCAAGTGTCACCATGGCCAACGATTCTAGTGCGCGAAACGTTGTCCCAGGTCTACTAAAACCTCGCTTCAAACTACACATTGGGGCCTTCAACGTACGTACTTTAAGCCAAATCGGTCAACAGGCCTCCTTAGTTAAAACCCTATAATCTCGTACCATTGGTGTATGCTGTGTCTCCGAAACACGCATACAGGATCCTAGTGTGGTCATTCACTTGACCTCACCTCGCCAAAATGAACAACCAACGAAATACACCCTCCGTGTATCTGGCTACCCGTTGGCTAGTTCTCGTGGACTTGCAGGTGTAGGCATAGCCCTAAGTAAAACGGCAGAACAGGCACTACTAGAATGGGTCCCCGTTAACAGTCGCCTATGTGCTGTCCGGCTGAATGGATCCGTAAGAACTCGGAAGAATAGGGACACACGCCTTTGCCTTTTTGTCGTTTCTGCCTACGCTCCCACTGACTGCAGCCATGATGAAGTGAAAGATGACTTTTACAGAAAACTGAGCTTCTTCAGAAAGCTAAGCGCTCAGACATAGTAGTCGTAGCGGGTGACTTTAATGCCCAGGTAGGCAGCTTGAATCAAACAGAAAGACATTTAGGTGGGTGTTTTAGTATTCCGGCTCAACGAACCGATAATGGTGATCGTCTGTTGCAACTGTGCTCAGACAATCGTTTATTTTTAGCAAACACTAGTTTTAAGCATAAGGAGAGACATCGTCTAACATGGCGGCCACCTGCACCAAACCAACGATGGACTCAAATAGACCATATTGTCATCGTTGGAGAGGCTCAATAAAAGATTGTCGCTCGTATTGGAATACTTGTTTAGACTCTGATCACGCTTTAATACGAGCGCGCATTTGTCTGCGCCTCAATGGAGGCTGGAGAAGTACACTAAGAAGACCCATTAGGATTGAACTGGAGGACGAGAAAGCTAAATGCGAATTCCAGAAACAACTGAGTTCACATCTAGGCAGTTCTGTAAACGAGACTGACTCAGATGCTGCTTGGAAAGACACACGAACAGCTGTGGAAACAGCAGTAACATCTATTAGTCATTTAAACCATAGGGCTCCAAAAAAACCAGTGGATTTCTTCTAAGTCTATTTCACTGATGGATTCGCGTAAACTCATCCCATCAGGCTCTGAACACGACGAAGAGCTTAAAGAAATTAGATCTAGGTTAACTAAAAGTCTAAGGAACGATCGTGAGCAGTGGTGGGCAACGAAAGCAAAAGAGATGGAAAAGGCAGCGGCTGTAGGCAACACCAGGCAACTATTCAGACTAATAAAAGAAACCGGAATTAAGAAGTAAAGTGTAAGTGAGACGATCTCGGAAAAAGATGGAACCCTTATCTGCTCTCAACCCAAACGTTTAGAACAATGGGCGGAACACTTTAAGGAGCAGTTTAGCTGGCCTTCAGCTACTGCACAACTACCCACTATTCCTAGAAAACCTGAATGGAACATCAAAGTAGGCCTTCCGACCCTACTTGAAGTTCAAAAGGCTATAAGTAATCTGAAACGAGAAAGAGCAGCTGGTCCTGATGGATTGGCTCCAGAGGTCTTTAAATATGGTGGTCCAATTTTAGCGATTAGGTTGACTAATATTCTAGCTAAAATCTGGGAAACGGACGTAATCCCATCTGACTGGTCACAATCTCTGATTGTCCCAATATATGAGGGGTCAAAATCATCCTGTGATAACCATAGAGGGATTAGTCTGACCAACATAGCATCTAAAATACTAGCCTCAATAATTATCGGGCGCCTAACTAAGACTCGTGAACTGCAAACACGAGAAAATCAGGCTGGCTTCAGACCTGGTCGTGGCTGTATCGACCACATATTCACCATTCGTCAAGTTTTAGAGCACAGATACGCTTATCGGCGTCCGACAATGATAGTTTTCTTGACTTGAAAGCAGCATTTGACTCTGTAGACCGAGAGGTTCTGTGGCAGTGTCTGTCATTGAAAGGTGTACCTGAGAAGTACATAAACCTTGTGAAGGCTCTTTACTCGAACACTACCAGTCGAGTGAGAGCTTATGGCGAACTGTCATATGATTTTACAACCTCAAGTGGTGTCCGTCAAGGCTGTCCACTATCCGCATTTTTGTTTAACTTCATTATAGACCTGTTGCTGGAAATAACACTCTCGTCGACTGAATTTTCAGGAATTGATCTTCTACCAGGAGGTTCACTTATCTACTTAGAATACGCAGATGACATAGTCCTGTTTGGTGAAGACGCTGGCAAAATGCAGAGTCTTCTGTTGGAACTGAGTAATAATGCCGGGATGTTTGGGATACGTTTCTCCCCATCTAAATGTAAATTGTTACTCCAGGACTGGCCTGCGTTAACACCCGAACTAAGAATAGGGAGTGAAGTAGTCGAACGCGTCAGCAACTTCACTTATCTTGGAAGTCTGATCAGCCCTAATGTGTTGGTGTCTGACGAAATCTCAGCACGGATTCCAAAAGCTCGTTTGGCTTTTGCCAAATTACGTCACCTATGGCGAAGACGAGATATCCGTCTATCAATTAAGGGATGAGTATACTGCGCAGCAGTTCGTTCTGTTCTACTTTACGGCTGCGAAACATGGCCATTAAGAGTAGAAGATACTCGTAGGTTACTAGTATTTGACCACAGATGCCTTAGAAATATTGCTCGCATCTGCTGGGATAACCGGGTAAGTAATAGTGAGGTTAGACGCAGGGTATTAGGGAATGATGGTAAATCAGTTGATGAGGTGATGAATCTTCATCGACTGAGATGGTTGGGCCACGAGTTACCTATGCCTGAACACCGATTACCACGGCGCTCTATGACGATTAGTATTGGGGATGTTTGGAAGAGAGTTAGGGGCGGCCAAACCAAAGCATGGCATCAGTGCTTGAAGTCACTAACTTCTAGTCTGAGCCATGTTGATAGATGCAGACTACCTGGTTGGGGTCCGCGTGACTATCGTAACCAATGGTTGGAGAATGTGTGTGACATGGCTCATAATCGATCACAATGGCGTAGGTGTATACACTCTTTATCTTCCCTTAAACCTTGAGATTAAAATTGTTTCATAACTTTTTTCCTTCCTATATACAACCTTTATTTATATACTACCACCACTAAATTAATCACTTCTATGAATCCGGTGTTGATCTTGTTGTGCTAACGAGGTATGGCAATTTGGACCGATGCATATATGTGCCTGGTCCTACGTTGTCGCTGACTGACTTGACTGTGAAAGAGGGCCCTGGTTCCATTCATTTGAAGGTTCTGCACGATTATTTCACTGGAATTTTGAATATGCTCTGCTACAGACTCCATTTACTCACACACTTCTGTAAATTTGTTTCAGACAACTATTAGTTGTGTCGTACATTGTCTGTTTACCTGACGACCAACATGGTTCTAGGGGCAAAACGCTGTTTGACTTCTTTGGGTTGTTCTGTAGTCTGCCACTTCTAATGATTGTGCATGCATGGACTCGATTGGATGGGCTAGGCGGACAAGGGATCAATTAGGACGCTAGACTACTCATACTGGTCGAACGTCATTGATTTGACACAATGTTAAGATTAGAATCGTCGTATTTCGATTGGTGGATAATTCACGTGATAAAAAGCCGGACCACAACAATTGGCGTATGATTTTTTTCTTTTTTTCTAAATTCATACGCTGATCTCTATCTTCACCACCATCATCAGTGAGTGCATGGCACTGGATAATATTCATTGTAATCCTTTCCTTTTTTGCTTTGAGGGATGCTTCGATGATTCTCGATCCATGAGATTCACATCCTATAAGAGCTTTTCGTGCTTTTTTTGGAGAGCATCATTGAAACTCCGTGTGTGAGAGGCGTTTTCTGCCTCATGATCACAGTACAACAACCCCTTTCCGTCCTGCTTGTGTCCAATGGATTTTACTTATTCCGAGCACCGCCTGTTTGTATTTTCTCATTTCTGAAGCTACTTGAATGATCCTCCCATTGTCCCACATTGTGTGAACATTCCATGTACTTATGTTAATTGTTGTTCTGCTTGTTAGAACGGGTATCGGCTTTATGAATCCTGAAGAATTTCAGCTTTCACTATTAAGTGTCATTACTGTTATAAATGAAGAACTTTCAACTCGGAGACCAGAGTTTAGATGGTTTGAATGGTTCTTGTGGTTAGCGTTTTTTTAGGAAAGTTTTCTTCCATGAGATGGGGTTGCTAATACAATGAACAACCTTACTCCTTTAGCGGACTTGGAATCGTAGTAACCCTAGAAGGGTTCAAGAATAAATGAATTGTAGATTATAATGATCGAAATGAAAATGAATATGTGATTAAACTATATGGCAGATTTTTTAGGTATACATGCATGATTGTTGTTGTAATTCCATTTTAAGGTAATTTATCATTTCTGAATCTCTGTTAGATGGTGATATTTTGGCGACTATTCAGCTTATGTCGATTTATGATCATAGTGACTTCAATGGAAATATATAATACGTAATCAGTAGATACTTAGAACAACCAAATTAAGTTTATAATACGATTCACTAGGATCAATTATTAAATATCAACTTGGTCTTCGATTCTATGTGGTTGTAATCGGTTGGCAAACCTTCTGTTTTCGCCAGAGTAA